GCAGAGTGGGGGGGCAGTGACCCTGGGTACTGGGGACAGTGCAGAGTGGGGGGGGGCAGGGCAGTGTGAGGGGACAGTGACCCCAGGTATAGGGGACAGTGCAGAGTGGGGGGGGCAGTGACCCTGGGTACAGAGAACGCAGCACGCTGCCCCCTGTGACAGGAGCACCTGGGGCCTCACAGGTACCCGTTCCTGGCCGACCAAGACATCCCGGAGACAGACTGGGAGGTGTACCTGAGGGAGACGGCCAACGCCATTGTCAGCCAGCAGAGCCCACAGAGGTGAGGGTGCTGGGTGGCTGCTCTTTGACGCCTCTCCTGCTTACCTGAGGCTGGGTGGGATTCTGTCTGCCTCTTTTCAGAGCAGAGGGGGTGGCTTCATTTGACAAATTCCACAGTTAAGAATAGCTGATCTGTAAGCGCACGGCTTTATTACACTGTGACGTGTAAAGGCAGAATGTACGAAAGGCGTGAGGGTGCTTATAGAAGAATTCCACCTTCCCACGAACTTGTAGACGCCCTGGTCTATGGATGAAGTCTCGGCACAGGGCCTACCTTCAATGCTGGTGGTTGGGATCGTCCTGAACAGCGCACGTGGCTACGTGGTCACGTCTGAGCGCTGGGAGACGCGCACGTGATGGGAATGGCGCTGTGCAGCCGCAGCGGGCAGTGAGCACAGTCGGGTCCGCGGTCTCCTGTGGGAGTGGGTGTGTTTTTACTGGAGAAGCTTCAGCCGGGGAAGGGGGGAGTCCAGATCTAAGACCCACAACGTGACCTGAGAGCGGCTGGTGACCTGAGGCTCTGAAGCCGCTCGGAGCCCCAGCTGGCCGGACTGCAGAAGGGGTGGGGCAGGTACTGGGAAGCCGGAGACCTGTGGGCGTGGTGCATAGCGTGTGCTCTTTGGTTTCCACAGTGATTAGTAGGGGTGAGCGTATAGTCATGTGACCCCACTGTGCCTTGTCCTCTACGACTCAGCGACCCTGTAGGGCAGAGCGGCTGGTGGATTCAAACTACTAACCTGTCAGCTATTGGCCTGCTGTGTAACACGGTGCACTACCAGAGCTCCTCAGTCAGACATGACAATACTTGCGTCATTAAGGAGCCCCTGGTGGAGCCCTGGTTAAGGCGCTTGGCTGCCCATGGAAAGGAAGGTGGTACCCCTCCCAGAGTTGGCAGCTCATCCGCCACCTCCACGCCAGATGAGCTGCCCCTGCTCCCACTCAGTCGGACTCAGGTTTGGAAATTGACCCAGTGATGCGCTATTTAAAACGAATCCATTGCAGACATTCATGGGCTGGGATAGACGTGAGAGGGGGCCGTGCTGACCTTTTACCGGGTGCTGACATGACCCATGCTGGGCTGGGGCATCTATGGACTCTTGTTTTTTGCTAGATCTCAGGCAGGTGTGGGGTCCTAATTGGAGTAACGACTGGCATTCTTTGTCAGCTCCCACACTGCATGGACGGGGGAGCATCGAGAAGTTCTTGGGGAAATGCCATTCTCCACCCTGATTCCAAACCCTGTGTGTTAACAGTCGTTAAGAGGGGAGGCTGTTGCACCAGTATGTGGTAGATACGAAGGTTCATTTAGATACATTAAGGAGCTTGTTCTGGATGTTCAGGTAGTAAGTGATAGAGACCCAACTTTCTCTGGTGCACCGGTCAGCTTCATCCCCAAAAGGAGCCCTGGTGGCACAGTGGTTTAGCGCTTTACTGCGAGCTCAAAGGTTGGTGGTTCAAACCCACAAGCCATTCTACTGGAGAAGGATGAGCAGTACAGCTGCCAGCCTCGGAAACCGCCTGGGGTAGTTCCCTGCGCTCTCTGTGGGGTCCTAGGAGTTGGAATGGACTACACAGCATGGGCTTGTTTTTCCTTTTTGTTCTCTCATGTCTTTGTATTCAACTGCTGACTCTTAGATCCTTCCAGGACCATATTTTAGATGTGCTAGATATTGCCTATCTGCAGTCAAAAAATAATATACTACTTGAAATGTCGTTGCATGTGTTAGAATCCATGATGTAAGTTCAACCCCCACTAATCTCCCGAAGTCTTAATTACTATTTGGTATTTTGTTGGAATTTTGAAATAAACCATCTTGGATATTAATGTTATCTCCCTTTACAAGGAATTTGAAGACTTTGTTTCTAAAATCATGAGCTGAAGTTAGGAGAAGCTTTTCTGTGTTTCCCTAGTTTGATAAACTATCTATGAAAACGTACCTGTATTCAGAGTGTTTCATTCATAAAGTAAGAGATTCACAAAGTAGGGGCACACTTGCATCACAAAACCCCGTTCCCTTGTTTTCCTGTAGACTCCTGGAAGCCCGAGGAAGACTCTACGAACTTCTCACTCACTGTATCCCTCCGGAGATAATAATGAAGGTAACCTGGACGCAGACGTGGGCACTGGGTGGGAGGGCGTGGACGTTTGCAGCACTATGTATGTTGGGACCTCTTTGTTACGCAGCTCGTTACTTCAGCAGGGCCAGGTACCATGTACGTTAGTATTGAACGAGGTGGGTTCGGCTGGGGGGCACCACCATCTAGTATAGGGAGATGGTCATTCAGCAAGATGAAAGAGGGTTTCAGAACATTCCCAGTGTGATCCAAGAAGCAGAGGATCATGGGAGGTTGTGCTCTTGTAGACTCTCCATGCTATTTTGGAAGCAGGGGATCATGGGAGGCTGTGCTCTTGTAGACTCCCCATACTATCCAGGAAGCAGAGGATCATGGGAGGCTGTTGATGTACTCTCCCAATGCTCTCCAAGAAGCATAGGATCATGGGAGACTGTTCATTTAATCCCCCATGCTAACCAGGAAGCAGAGGATCATGGGAGGTTGTATTCATGTAGACTCCCCATGTTATCCAGGAAGTGGAGGATCATGGGAGGCTGTTCTTGTACTCTCCCAATGCTATCCAGGAAGCAGAGGATCATGGGAGGCTATGCTCATGTAGCCCAAGTTATGACTGCTGGCTTCTCTTTGGACGTGGTGTCTATGTGGATACATGAAGGACTCAGACGGGGAAGCAGCAGGGTTGAACAGCCAGTCTGCCTGGGTGGGGTTCAGTTTTGTTGAGCTGGAACCTAATTGTGTTGAGTTGCTTGTCTGGTGAGCAGTTTCACATGATCACTGTTCTGCACATGGTGTGGGCAGTAAAGTTGGGTGGGTCCAAGGGAAGGCGCCTTTGGCACCTGTATGTCCTACTTACTGGTTATCTGCTCCTGGCAAAGGAAGTAATTGCACACATAACTGGGGCACATGTGTGTCAAACGGAGAGGTTCGTGTGGTAGGAAATGACCTAAAGGAGAGGCCCAGCAGAGACTGAGCTACAGTGGGCACAGCTTCAGGTGTGCTCCGTCAGCTGTCTCACAAGCCAGACTGACAGAGGTCGGCTTTTATTCCTTTTTATTGAAAACTGGATAGGTATTAGGCCAAAGAAATGCAAATGATCATAAGTATAAAATGGACAAAAGAGTGGCGCTCTCCCCTTCTTTACCTATAGTACTAAGCAGAACTTATGGAGGGGGGCCTGGTGTGGTGCTCTGGGATAAAGCACAGGACCACTAAGTCGGTTTGAACCTCAAGGTTGGCGGTTCAAACTCACCAGCCACTCCTTGGAAACCCTACACAGGATTGCTATGAGTCAGAACCGACTCCATGACACTACCAACAAGCAGATTCACTGCTGTCAAGTCAATTCCAATCTGCAGCAACACTTTAGGACAGTGCAACTGGGCTTCATTTCTATAAGGGTGAGTCCTGAAGGATTAGCAGTGCCCTGCTGACCATAAGGCTGCTGGTTCAAATCCACCAGCTGCTTCTTGGAAACCCTATACAGACAGAATCAATGTGTGTCAGAACTGACTTGACAACAACCACTTTGAACAGATTCTTTAACCCATTCTTTTCCCAAGGAGTTCCTGGGTGGCACAATCAGTGAAGCATTCAGCTACTAACCAAAAAATGGGCATTTCTAACCCACACAGAGGCGCTGCTGAAAAACCAGTCATAGGAAACCCCGTGGGCACACACGGGCCACCATGAGTGGATTCTAGTTATGGAAAATCCTCCACTGAGAACCCTGTGGGTACAGTTCTACTTTGACACACATGAAGGTGCCAGGAGTCGATGTCAAAGTGGACTGTCACTGGTTTGGTTTTAAAATTCTTTTCACATATATGTAGGTGTCTTGTGTGTTTGGTGTGTACAGTTTTACTAAACTCAAGTGTCCTGCAGCTATGCTTTCGTCCCCCAACACACACGTACGATCGTGATCTACTGAAGGTGCTCCCTGCACATCTCAAGCTTGGCTGTGGGTGCAGATGATGACGGAAAAGGCAGCCGCAACTGTCGGTTCCGTCCCCCCTCGGACCCCGTGTGCACACGAGCACCCGGGAGGTAGAATGGCCTGCATTTATACATTCAGAAAAGCTCTGAGGAGACCTTCTGTTTTTCACTGAAGACTGGCAGTGCCCATGAAAGAACTCGGTGCTCACACATGAGGGGGCTTCAAGCAGCTCCTGGAAAAGTGGAATGACGGATAGTGGGCTTTTTCTATTGGTGATTTGAAGCCTCCTTGCATGTTGAACAGCACATAATACTTCAGTTTAATTTCTTTTTCTGAGCGAGAGAGGTACAGAGCAGCCGGCGTGTTGTGACGATTTGATTGCAGCTCAACAGCACAAGCTGGTCTGTGTTCCGCACTGGCCTACAGGTGAGGTGTAGCTGTGCTGACCGCCGTGTCTTTCTGCAGGGCCTCCTCTCAGAGCTTCTCCGGAACTGTGACGGGCAGCTGAAGGGGGAGGTGGCCCAGATGGCGGCTTACTACGAGCACCGTCTGCAGCTGGGCAGCAAGGCCATTTACCACCTGGAAGCGTTTGTGGCCAAGTTCATGGCGCTCTACAAGAAGTTCATGGAGGATGGGCTGGAAGGCATGGTGTTCTGACCCCTCAGCAATCCTGCCACACCCGGTGTTGGTGTTTACAGAGCTTGTCCTGGAAGAGCTATGGGCAAAATAAATGAATTCTGCTTTATGTAGCTTGTATGTTTGTTTATAATTCTTCAGTGATCTCTCAATCATTACCCTCTGAGTTTAATAACTGTATACCAGGAGCTTCAAAAAGTTTATGGAAAAATGGAATGAAAAGAGAATAGAATTTTCCCATCAACATTTAGAAACCCTTTTAGATAGTCATTCTCACGTGGGTCTGTTTCCTAAAGATACATACGGTGGGACCTGGAGTTAGGTTGGACTGCTAACCTAAGTTAGTGGTTCAAGCCCACCAGCCACTCTGGGGAAAGGTTGTGACTGTCTTGCTTTTGTGAAGATTTAGTCTGAAAGCCCCCAAGCAGGGTTGCTGTGACCTGATGAAGACGTTGGAATATTTGAGAATGACTAAGTTGGGGCAGAGACAGGAAGTGAGTGCAGCTTGTCGGCAGATTGATACTCGTTGCAGGGTGTCCATTAACCCCACTTATGAAAAGTACAAGTTCGGAATAGCTGCCAAACTCAGTACAGTGAAGCACAGTAGAAGGAGCTGTGCCTGTTTTCCCGTTTTGTATACATACATAGAGAAAGGTGTTTGACTTTAAGGAAATTAAGCAATTGTGGAGGTCAGGTAACAGACTGGAGGACTTTCTAGGCAGAACCCCCTCCTCAGGGCAGTGAAACCAGGAAGTCTTAGATAAAATGGAAAGTGGCAAGGATTTCATTGAACTTGGCACCAATTCATGCTCATAGAAGCTGTAGCCAAGCATCCAATGATGCTGTGCACTGGGCAGTTATGCTGGAAAAGATCTCCAGTGTTCAAGAGCCAAGATGTACCTCAGCCAAGTCCTGGTGTTTTCAGTCACCGCATGCTTGTGAAAGGTGGACAAAGAATCAGGAAGGGAGACTTGAGAACTGATGCATTTGAACTACAGTGTTGGCAGAAAAGATGAACAGTGTCACAGGCAGCCAGAAGAACAAACATCTGTGTTGAAAGAAGTGCAGCTGGAGTGCTCCTTTAAGCGAGGACCATGAGGCTTGGTCTCTTGTACTCTAGATATGTTGGCAGGTGGGAGAAGGACATCATCCTTGATAAGGTGGTGGGTCAGTGATAACAGGAAGACCACTAATGAGATGGACTGACCCAGGAGCAGTAATGATTCTGAGGATGGGACAGGGCTGGCTGGAGTTTTGTTCTGTTCACTGAAGACTCCTAACAACAGCAGATACACTGCAGGGCCCCTGGGTGGCACAAACAGTTTGTACTCAGCTGCTAGGACAAAGTTTGAACCTGCCCAGTGGCACTGAGGAAGAAAGACCTGGAGGTCTGCTTCCACTAAGATGACAGCCTAGGAACCCCTGGAGCAGTTCTCTGTCCCATAGCGTCCTGTGAGTGGGAAGTGACAGCTGCAGGTCTGGCTTGGGGTACCTGAGGGAACTGCCCTGTATTTGGTGGGGGTTGCTATTGGGAAGCCCACCATAGCTCTGCAACGTCACTGTCATTAGATTTTTAAGTGACAAGACCTAATAGGGCCACAATGAATCCACAATAATAATCTTTAGAAGTAGCCAATTATAGAAGTATTGTAGGACTTCCGGTTGGGATAAGCAGAGACAAACAGTGGAGGCTCCTCAGCAGTGGTGTGGAAAAACAATAGAAGACGCTTTCCTGGAGCAGCCTTGGAACTTTAGATCTAATATAAAGTTAGGGGAAATAGTTTCGGGTGCCCACTGGTGGAGAAATCTAACTGTGGCTGGAAGAAATGGGATTTCTGAATCGATTGGGATGCTGCCTGAGGCCCACAGTCATGGTGGAGATCAGAGGGTGGGACCACAGCCAGTGCAAAAGCCACCCAGCGACTTGTGGAAAAAGAGATGTGACTTTTTTCCCTCTCTCTTGTTGTACCCTTTTTGCCCAGCCTGGGCATCTTCAGACAGATGGGAGCGCACCCTCAAAAGGGTCCAGCATTATGCCCACAGGGTACAAGTTTTCCATGGCACAAAGAGGAAGTCACTGAAAGCCCCAGCGGTTCCAGAAGTTAATCCTCTGGCGGTTCCTTATGACGTCTGAGTGTGGGATTTAGTTGACTATCCTACTTGGGCAGGAGCCTTTATTCCTGCCTTACCTAACAAGAGACAGCAGGTCTGTCCATACAGCTGAGCCTTATTTGCACTTTGGAAAACCCAACATAAAAGGCAAGAGCCAACACCGACTACTGTATACAAGGGTGCAGACATTTTGAGAATTATGCTGTGCATACGCAGATACCTAACTGATCTTCAGAGATAAAAATTATGAACAATTTTTTTTCCATTAATTTCTCAATCTCTGCACCTCCACAGCAGTGACTAGAGGGGGCGCCTAAGTGAGTGGACAGCCCACCTACCACTGGAGGTTTCTGCTGTGCACACACACTGACCTGCACAGCAAAGGCTACTGGACAGCCTGCTACGGATTTGGTTTTGGTTTTGGTTTTACTTTTGTTTTCTGATCTTTTTCACTGGGGGTGGGAGCTTTCTCTCAGCTACGTTACCCAAGAAGAGACAGCAGTCGTGACCATATACTCAAGCTACAAGCATACCCCATAATAGCCCACCATCTGGACAGGAGCCAATACCAGCTGTTACACATTACATAGCCAAAACTTGCTAGGATTTCTCACGGTTGAGTAATAAGAGATGTGAAAAGGGAAGCCTATCTGCAGATCTCTTCCACCAGGAGACAACTCAGTAAGCTTAATAATACAGCAACATACATTCATTTAATCACTGAGAACACATCTAGGTATTGAAAATGTCCAAGAAAAAACAACAAAAGATCTCAGCACATGTCCAGAAAACAGAAAACAGTAACAGACAAATGAGCTGGTGGCAGACATAGACTTCCCATTAGAAGGAGAGCAGACTTTCGCTCTGTCTCAGAAGGAACTCAGGAGACTGATAGTCACACAAATCCAAAGGCTTCACAGAAGGGTGGAGGAAAATAAGTCAGGAAAGTGCTACATTAACGATCAAATAAGATAGATACAGCATTGGAAACAATTCAAAACCTGCAAAAAGAGGTCCAAATGATTAATAATAAAATATCAGAAATGGACAGTACACTGAAAGGGCAAAAGAGCAGAGTTGAAGAGATGGAAGCCAGAGCCAGTGAGCTGGAAGACTAATGTCTTAATGCTACAACAGAAAATCAAGCAGAAAAAAGGATAAAAAAAATCTGAAGAGAGTCAAAGATTCATGCTGGATAACATAAAGAGGAATAACTTAAGAAAGACCCTCAAAGAAAATTGATAGTTCACAACATATCATTATTGGCATTCCAGAACAGAAGGAATCACAGAAGTGCACGGAGGAGATAGTTGAGGATATTATGGAAGAAAATTTCCCTAACATCTTGAAGGATGAGAAAGTAAGCACTCAAGAAGCTGAATGAACCCTAGGAAGGATAGACCCCAAAAGAAAATCACCAAGACATATCATAATCAAGCTCTCCAAAATCAAAGACAAGGAGAGAATCCTAAAAGCAATCAGGGAAAAGAGAATGTTACTTACAAAGGCAAGCAAACCAGATTAAGCTCTGATCTCTCAGCAGAAACAATGCAGGCAAGAAGGCAATGGGGAGACATATATAAAACCCTAAAAGAGAAAAAAAACCAACTGCCAACCAAGAATCATCTACCCCGAAAAGCTGTCAATCAAATAACGAGGGCGTAATCAAAACATTCCAGGAGAAACCGAAGTTAAGAGATTTTATGAAAGCCAACACAGCGCTTCAAAACATCCTAAAAAGAGTTCTTTGGCTGAGAACCAACAAGAAGAGATTGACAGATGTGGCAACACCACCTGGAACTGTCGACAGAGGAGTCCAAAACAACAAAATTACAACAATGAATTCAAAGGACCTGGGACGTCAATCAAAGATCAAAATAATAACAACGTCAAAGAAGGGGAAAATACAGGGACAGAGATCCAGGTGGTGAGGATGTCAGGTAGTTTGCAGGATATAATTGACTGTCTTAAATGGAGAGAAAAGTTAGTAGATTTTAGGGTAACCTCAAAGAAAATTGAGAGTTCACAACATATCATGAAAATGAAGATCCAAGTAGAACATGGAAACATTAAAACTAAGAAGAAACTGAAAAGAAAGAGCACCCAAAACATGGACTCAGCACAAGAAGGCAGACAGAATAAAGGAACCAGCAGCACAACGACAAAATAACAAGGACAGCAATTAATTCATACCTATCAATAATTACACTAAATGTCAATGGGTTAAATGCACAAGTGAAGAGACAGAGAATGGCAGAATGGATAAGAAGACAAAACCCTTCAATGTGCTGCCTGCAAAAGAACACCTTACACACAAAGACAAAAACAGACTAAAAGTTAAAGGATGGAAAAAAAAATATTCCAAGCTAATTGCAGTAAAAAACAAGCAGGAGTGGCAAGACTAATCTCTGATAAAATAAAGCTTAAGGCCAAAACCAGTATAAGAGATAAAGAAGGACACTATGTCATGATTAAAGGATCAGTTGAGCCAGATGACATACCATAATAACTATCTACGCTCCCATTGAAAGAGCCCCAAGATACAGAAGTAATGTAAACCAGCCAAAAAAAAGTTGGTTTAAAAATTTTTACACAAAAATACTCTAAATATAAGCAATGAACAAACTTTGAATTTCTAAAGCCCTTGTCTTTAAGGCAGATTGTTGTTGTTGTTAAGTGCTGTAGAGTTGGTTCAGACCCATAGCAACCCTGTATAGAGTTTCCGAGGAGCAGCTTATATGAATAAAATTATGTAACCCATTGACCAAGAAGCATGGTCACCTTAACATTGAGAAGCTCAGTTCTTTGATTTATATGCAATTTGTCTTCAGAGCTTAAAAAGATTCTTGTGGGTTATAATGGAGCCCTGGTGTGGTGCTGTGGGTTAATGCACTGGACTGCAAAATTGG